GCCGAGCCGCCCTGCCGCCGATTCGCCCGGGAGCCGAGCCGCCCTGCCGCCGAACCGCCCGGGAGCCGAGCCGCCCTGCCGCCGAGCCGCCCGGGCGCCGAGCTGCACTGCCGCCGAGCCGCTGAGCAGCCGAGCCGCCCTACTGCCGGGCCGCCCGACCTGCCCTGTCCGGTGAGCACAGCCCCACTGTCACTGCGTGCCCTTCCCCTACTGCTTGAACTGCTGCGTCTGCGCTTGTTGCTGAGCTCGTCGACTTTGCTGCTCGCTGTCGTCTAGACTACGCTGCCGGTCTTGTTGCTGAGTCTGCGTCTGTCTGTCCTCCGTCCGTCGGGGGTGAGTGTGCTCTTGGCACGGACGTCCTTGAGGACAGGCAGGAGGAGTTCAGGTGTCTGGCTGCTGCTTCACCTCATCTCGCGTCCGTACTACTTGCCCCTGAGGGAGACCCGGATGCACTAGACATCCCGACTCCGCGCTCTTACGCGGAGGCCGTAGAGGGTCCCTACTCCTCTCAGTGGCAGGCAGCTATGGATGCAGAGATGGCGTCCTGGAAGTCCACAGGCACCTACGTTGACGCGGTTCCCCCTCCTGGGGCGAACATCGTCAGTGGCATGTGGATCTTCAGGGTGAAGCGGCCGCCGGGCTCTCCACCTGTCTTCAAGGCGCGGTACGTCGCTCGTGGCTTCAGTCAGCGGCAGGGAGTTGACTACTTTCAGACCTTCTCTCCCACCCCGAAGATGACCACTCTTCGGGTGCTGCTGCACATAGCCGCTCAGCGCGACTACGAGCTCCACTCTCTTGACTTCAGTACTGCTTTCTTGCAGGGTAGCCTCCACGAGGAGATCTGGCTGCGCCGTCCACCTGGCTTCACTGGGACTTTTCCTCCTGGCACCCAGTGGAGCCTCCGACGGCCAGTCTACGGTCTCCGCCAGGCACCGCGTGAGTGGCACGACACACTGAGGACTACGCTTGCGGCTCTTGGGTTTGCTCCCTCTACTGCTGACCCGTCGTTGTTTCTGCGCACCGACACTTCTTTGCCGCCGTTCTACGTCCTCGTGTACGTCGACGACTTGGTCTTTGCCACAGCTGACACTGCTGGACTAGCCTACGTGAAGTCCGAGCTGCAGAAGAGACACACGTGCACAGACCTCGGTGAACTGCGCAGCTACCTTGGCTTGCAGATCACTCGGGACAGAGCACGCCGCACCATTACCTTGACTCAGTCACACATGGTGCAGCAGGTCCTTCAACGCTTCGGCTTCACGTACTCCTCGCCTCAGGCCACTCCTCTGTCTACTCGCCACTCGCTCTCAGCTCTGCCTTCGGATGAGTCCGTAGAGTCGAGTGGCCCGTACCCAGAGCTTGTTGGCTGCCTCATGTACCTGATGACCTGCACACGACCTGACCTTGCATACCCTCTTAGCATTCTTTCACGCTATGTTGCTCCTGGGAGACACCGACCAGAGCACATGGCTGCAGCGAAGAGGGTGTTGCGCTACTTGTGCAGTACGTCGGGCATGGGGCTAGTGCTTGGAGGGCGGAGTCCAGTGGTCCTCACTGGGCACGCGGACGCTTCTTGGGCAGACGACCAGGCTACACAGCGGTCGTCGCAGGGTTACACCTTCAGTCTTGGTTCCGGCTCTGTCTCGTGGCGGGCTACTCGCTCGTCCTCTGTTCTCAGCTCCAGTTGTGAGGCTGAGATCTACGCCGGGGCCATGGCTGCACAGGAGCTTCGTTGGCTCACCTACCTGCTGACTGACCTTGGAGAGCCGCCTCGTTCTCCTCCAGTGTTGTACGTAGACAACAAGGCCATGCTGGCCTTGTGTCGAGAGCAGCGCTTGGAGCACAGAACGAAGCACATTGCTCTCCGTTACTTTCTTGCTCGTGAGCTGCAGCAGCGTGGTCAGTTGCGACTTGCGTACGTGGCCTCTGAGGCCAACACTGCTGATGTGTTCACCAAGGCACTTGCGCCTTGTGACCATCAGCGCTTCTGCACCCAGCTGGGTCTTGTACCTGTCTTGCCTCACTTGCTCTCTTCTTGACCTTGCTTGTACTGTCACATATATATTCCTGCTCTTGCTTGTCTAGCTCTATATATATATGTGTACTCCTGCATGTGAACTGGCCCTGTTGCCCTGTCGTTGTGCTCGGACTGTGTGGTGACTTTGTGATCCACCCTGAGCTTGCTCTGCTTTGCTTGACTGGTCTTGTGACCCCTTGTTCTCCCCCACTTTGCCTATGGGGGTGTGTCAGAACATATATATATAGCTTATGCTGTTGTGTAGGCTATAGTGGGGTATCCCATAGGGGGTACAACCCAATTAGGGTTTCCCATATGTACTCACTTCATTCATAGTTCATTCATCCTCGTTCTACTCTCCTCATGGTGATGCCGATTGGGAGACATGGCATGAAAGGCTATGCCATGTGAATTTTCCTATGCTGCAGAAGTTGGTTAAGGATGGGAGCTTGAAGGGGTTGGAGGTGAAGGGGGCAGCGAAGGAGATTGGAAGCTGCCCTACATGCCTTGAAACTAAATTCACCAAGTTCCCTTTCAGCAGCAGCACGGGACCAGCCAAGGCTCCACTTGCACTTGTGCACATGGATGTGGTGGGCCCCACGAGGGCCCTTTCTCTCTCGGGCAGCCGCTACTTCCTGACCATTGTGGATGACCACACGCGTGCGGTGTGGGTCTACCCTCTCAAGACCAAGGGGGAGGTGGCAGCGGCTGTTCTCAAGGAGTGGATGCCGAGAGCTCAAAGGGAGAGCGGACACAAGGTGAAGGTGATCCGCACTGACAACGGGGGAGAATACATTGGCGCTGATTTTGAGGCGGTGCTTAAGAAGAAGGGGATCCAGCATCAGCTCACGGTGCCCTACAACCCTCAGCAGAACGGCGTGGCTGAGCGGTTCAACCGGACCCTGCAGGAAGGTGCTCGCACTCTCCTTGGGCGTGCAGGGCTGCCGGATCCGTTTTGGGTGACTGCACTGCGGCAGGTCGCCCTTGTGAAGAACAGGGTGCTGGCAATTGTGGGGGACAAGCAGTGGGTCCCCTACGCCAAGTGGTATGGGAGTGCACCAGCAGTCAACATGCTGAGAGCCTACGGCTGCATGGTGGTGTTTCATGTGCCGAAGGAGAAGAGGGGAAAGCTGGAAGCTTCTGGGAGATGGGGTGTGCACTTGGGAATCGCGAAGGACCACAAGGGCTGGCTGCTATGGGACTTGACCAGCCAGAAACTGACTGTTTAAAGGGATGTGAAGTTCCTCGAGTCCTTGTACTACAAGGAGTGGAAGCAGCAGCAGCAGAAGCTTCCTACGACACCGCTGATCATTGAGGCCGATGAGGTGCAGCAGCAGCAGGTGGATGTCTCTGTGTCGGAGGAGGAAATATCTGGGGTGGCTGGTGATGGGGGAGACTGTGAGGTGGAGCAGCAGCAGCAGCAGCTGCTGCAGGAGGAGCAAGGTGCTCCACCACGTGCCCCACACCCGCCTGAGCGTCCTAGGAGGGATGTGCGCCCTCCTACCACGCTGACCTATGCGAGCCGTGGCACGCCAAGTGTGGTACCAGCTGGGAGTGTGGCCGAGCAGATTGTTGGGGATGCGATAGCCTACTGCTATGGGGCTATATTGAGAGGGTGTGGAGCTTAACGCCATGAGACAGAGGCTGCAGAGGGGTGCTGCATAGTTGGGCATAACAGAGATGTTTGATTGTTCGTTGGGATGAGTGACGGAAGAACATTGGAAGGAAATGACAATTGCTTGAATGAGTGTGCATTGAGGGTGCATGCTTGAGCTATGGCATGTGGGATGATGGTGGGCAGCCAGAGGGGGAGTTTGTTATGTGATGCTATCATTTGCATTCACGTCTGTCTGCCTCCCATCATATGTTCGTGCGTTGCATGCGTTGTGTGAGCGTGTGCAAGAACTTGTATTCGGTGTCGTTTGGATTTTTTGAGTATGTGTGAATGTTGTTTGGCTTGAGCAGATATCTGGAGTGACTCCTCTGCTCAAGAGCTTTCCGACGAACCAAGTATCGCTTCAATCGGAGCACGAACAAGAAAGTTACGAACATTTGAAGTTCGTATGCTTTTGATATTTGGTTGTGGTGACTATGGGAAGTTGTGGGGTTGACTCCATAAGGGGTATAGACTCTTGGGGGTTGGGAAATTCGTCAACATCACTGTAGTGGTTAGGAGATGCCAAACCAGGTTGGCAAGTGTGGCCAAGTTGGGTGAGGTGGATTGTGGAGGTTGGGAAAGTGACAAAGGTCAAAGTGGGGTTGCTATAGAGAGGGGATTTGATGTGCTTATGGGATTTCCTTGGTTGGGGACTCCTTGAGGACCTTCCCTCTCGTCCTCCTCATCCCCTCCTACCTGGTTTAGTGCTACTCTATCATCCTTGTGTGAATCTTGTGAGACTTGCGATTGAGTTAAGTTCTTATGGCAGCATACCCCCCTGTGCGCCGAAATTGATAACTCAAGTTATACTTCACCTCTTGATACGATTCAAATTGGGAATTGTAGCTACGCTCCAAAGCTACAACATATCCGAAATAGGTGAAGTTTCGACAGTGCGTGTTTCGTCGACGGCGTTTCTTGTGAGCGCGACGATTCTGTCCAGAATTCTAAGCCAACGATTTTGAGAAATTTAGGCACCTAATCTTCATAGACTCCGTCCTTAGTCTCTAACAGGTGGGATGCGGTCACCAGCGCCAGCTGCTTCTCCGCTGCAGCCAGGGCATGCCAGGCGGCACATGGGCACACGGCCACACGGGAAGACTCGGGCATATTCGAGAATGTGAACAGTGTTGGTGGACTAATCTACAGCCATACACGGTGGTTGACCAACACGCTCAGGTGATGTCACTAGTGTGAGTTATCGACCAATTCGCCTGACCATACATCTCTTCTATTACATTTTTTTTTTCATAAAACACCTCATTTACACCTGACAAACCACCCTGCTTTCATAGCAAACAAAAGTACTGAGACAATGGAATGCACTCACAGCAGCATCCTGCATGGCCCCAGGGGTGCCCAGCCAGTGCCCAACAGCAGCCCGCCATCGCCCGCAATGCACCGTGTCAGCCGCCCCTGCTCCCTCGGGCTGCGACCACCCTGCTCCCTTCTGCCCACCCCCCGCCCGCCTTGCCCCCCTGCTCCCCCTTGGCCTTGCCTCCCACCCTCCCTACCGCTGCCTCGGGTGACTTCCTCCTCCCCATGCGCTCTGCCCCCCTTGCTTGCTCCCCTCCTCCGCCTTTCCGCTCCACGCTTCCCTTGTCTCCCCTCCTCTCTATCCCCTCCATGCGCCCTCCATTCATTCCTCTCCTCCTGCAGCAAAACAGTGCTGACGGCAAGCACCCTGCACGCCACCTCAGGCCACGTCAGCTCATCAATGGGACACATGAGCAGGTCGGAGCTGGCATCACTGACAACAGCAGCACTCAAGCCCATTTTCTCGCCTGTGAGGGAAGCAGGAGAGCCCATTGCAGCAGCAGCAGCAGAGGTTGCACCATTACTACCACTCACAACGCCAACTCTCGCTTCGGTTCCAGTTGCTTCCCTCTCCTTCCCTCTGCCGTCCCTCTCCCTTGCTCCGATTTCCTCGCGTGCGGCCTCAGCAGGCATGGAGGCGGGCAGCAGCAGGTGCAGTAGCGCCACGTGCATGTGGGCCACGAGGGGCCGCGGGCCACACACGCCAGCAGTGACGGCGCTGCCTGCGCTCGCTGCACCAGCTGACGCGGGAGGATGGGTGCACGAGTAGATGAGGTGGTGGGCGAGGGCTGGGAGGGAGAGCGCGGGGAAGGGAGGGGGAATGAGGGGAAGGCGGCGGAAGGCAGGGCAGGAAGGAGTGCAGCACGTGGTGCACCTGCATGGGGTCGGCGGGCAGGAGGTAGAGCGATGGAGAGAGGGAGATGGAAAGGAGGTAGACAGCTGTAACATCCTACCTAACTCCCCCTGGTCTCGATACATCGAACCAGCTGTGAGGGGGAAACGGGGGGAAACATGATTGGATGAAATTTTAATGGAAGCGAGACTTGGGTTGGAATTGGCTTGGTTGGAACCAACCAATCAGAACATTGCTACAAATTTGAACCTACGCGATTGGTTTGAGTTGATTCAAACACAACCCACGTAAGTTCAACACAACCCCTGTCTAGCCAATCAGAAAGCAGCCCCAAAGTGAGTCGACAACATTTCCGCCGCTCCCTGTAATTGCAACCAATAACATCAAACACATGTTTGTGATAACTATGCTTTGTTTATCCATGCTGTCTGAAATACAATTGGTTGAGGATCTCAATTATTGCCACATGGGCAAATCCCATAGAGGTGCACCCCTCCTTGCCATGGGGAAGGTGGTTGCACCCCAAGGGGTAGTAGGAAGGGGTCTGAACCTTCCCAGCTCATTCTCCATTTCCTTTCCCCAACAAGTCAAGTTGGAAAAGGGACTGTTCTTGCTCCAGTTCTCCTCCACAGTTTGTGACTCACTTCTCCACTGGTTTCCAAACTTAGACAGTTTTTGTAGCTACTACTCTCTGGTTTATACAAGAGCTCTTTGATATATGGGTAAATGCCCTTTATATTAGCAGATACGTTATATTGGTATCCAGAGCTATAAGGAGATCCTCACCTTGTGGGCATCCACAAAGATTTCTGATTTTTATTTTTCTTGGAGGACTTGTGATTTTCTTTGTAATCTTTATTATAAGCTATGAAGATTACAATGTCATCAAGATCTCAAGCAGAGAGCTCAAATTTTCAAGATCTGCAACTGCAAGCTTCTTGAAGACTTCAACCCCCTCCCTCCTCCCCTGCTGGTCTTATCATTATGTTTAAGACAATCACTATGTGATCAGTCTTGCCTTATCCACTGCGGTGGTAAGGATATTTTGCAGCAGATTGGTTTTCCTACAATTGTGGTTGTAAGATTTATTGAAGAAATTTCTCCTTTGGAGAAAATCTTGGTTATTCACTGCGGTGGTAACAAATTGCAATAGATCTGTAACCTTCCTTTATAATACAGTGATTCTACTCCACAATGGCTTCCAACTCCCATCTGGTGGTGATGAAGGCAACAACTCCCATGCTGGACTGGAAGCTTCTGTGCAGAACATTGACTTGAATAATATGGATGAGGAGATGGCTGAAAAGGAAGCAGCTGAAAACTCCCCGGCTAAGAACTCTCCAGCTGCTGAAAACTCCAAGGGGCAGGAAGAGGGGTCTCAGGAGGAGGAGATTGAGTTGGAGGACGAAGAGGACCTCTTGCATGCTGAAATTGCTAAGCTGCAAGATCATGGTGCTGAGCAGGATACGTGCATCCAGCAGCAGCAGTCACTCATCTCCACGCTCAGGGGAGGGCTCTCTAACCAAGACAACAAAATCAAGTACTTGGAAGTTGAGATTAAGAACATGAAGCACGATGCACGATGAGAAGTGGATGGGATATTTGAATGTTCCTGTTCAAGGACCATCTTGTTCTATCCACTTGGGGGATGACAGGGTCATCCCATGCAGGGGGCATGCGCTGGTAAACCTGGATATCATTCTTATCACTTGCCTCTGGAGGCAAAGAAATAAAGTCATATTCGAACAGACCAACAAAACATTTTCAAGTGCCCGTACATTAAGGCAAAACCAGTCAGCTACGAAAACGTGCGTACACGTACACGTACGTAACGTAAAACGACGTACACGTAAACGTAGATGACCAACTTAGCCCTTAGCACCGCTCTGCACCAGGGACATCGTTATCAGACAAAAGTCGTCTGATTTTCTGATTGTCAAACCTACTTTTATGTGTTCATCTGATGCCGTAGACAAGGTGCTTTATTCATCTGAACGTTCAGATATGAAGAATATTTTCATCTGATTTTTCAGACGTTCTATAAGCGTTCATCTGAATATATCGACAACGAGTTTTTCTTCGTCTGACTCAGAAATTTCTCTAGCAGCCTACCCTAACGCCGAATGAACATTTGGTGCGATTTAAGCCGTCGATGTGAAGTTGGATTGCGGACCGTTGGATTTGTTATACAGCAAATTCGGTTTTTTTGCATTCACTGGCTTAGTGGGCGTCTCACTTCCCTCGTATAAGGAAACAAAGTATAAGTATATCAAACAAATTGTCTGGAATTTCATACCATTTAGAGTTGTCCCTGCTCTGCACCGCTCTGCCCCTCTATGAGGGCCAGCACGGGCGGGTGGGTGAGCCCAAACTTGTCCAGCAGCAGCAGCGATCCCACCCTGCATACTCTGCTCCCACTCCCTCCCCTTGCCCCTTTTCTTGTACGCCCCCCACGCCCCCCTCACCCACCATGCCCACACCAAAACCACTATTTCCATCCTCCACCTCCCCTCCTCCCTGCCTTCCACTCGTCCCTCCGCTTTCCCCCCTCGTCTCTGCCTTGCCCTGCTCAGCCCGCTCCATCCATGTCGCACCCAGCTGCTCCCACCTCTCCCCTCCGAACCTCTCCCAAGCCTGTTGCCTCGTTTGCCCTTCGCACACTATCCGAACCTTACATTCAGGCTTGGAGCCTCCACGCTTTTGTGAACGTGTGTCATTGCTCGCCCCTCCTCCCCCCATCTCAACTCCCCTCACAATCTCCCCGCCAATTCCCCCGCCCATGCGCTCCCTTCGCCCAAGAGTCGGCCCCTGTCCGCCACCCCCTCCCCATCCCACAGCAGCGCCTGCACCTTCTCCCCCATTGTGCCCTCCCCTCCCTCGCTCCCATCCGAGCGAGCGAACCAGACAATCACGGAGACGGCACACGGGTTGCTCATTGAAGCCGGGCTACCCGACTATTTATGGCCAGATGCGGTGCGGAGTGCGTGTGTGGCCAAGAACAGAGCCTTGACTCATGTGGGAGCAGACGAATGGGTGCCCTATGTGGAGTGGATTGGAAGGAAGCCAAATGTGGATATGCTTCGGGTGTTCGGGTGCATGTGCATGGCGCTCGTGCCTAAGAATCTTCGGCACAACAAACTTGGTGCAAAGGCGATATGGGCTGTGCATTTGGGCATGGCTCAAAACAGCAAGGGATGGCTTCTTTGGGACCCATTCACCAAGAAATTCTTGGTGAGCAGGGACTGCAAGTTCATGGAAAATCTGATGTAGAAGGATTTTAAGGCGGGAAATGAGGCGAAGATAGGCGTGCGACTTGAGATCCGGTTTGGAACATGTGGAGTTGCCTTTGGAGCTGAGCAGCGGCAGCACCATCACAAGGCAATATCCTCTTTTGAATGGGGGAGAGGAGACCAGGAATGGAGAGGAAGAGGGGGAGGAGGTGCAGCAAGTAAGCGAGCGTGCACCGACACTTCCACCTCACACTACGAGTGCTCCACGGATTCGAGTCACCCCGCACCAACGACATGAGAGCCTTCATGTCCCTGCAGCTGAGGAGGAAGGAAGGGGCAAGAGGAGAATTCAAGCCCCTACTAGGCTGACCTATGATGCACAAGGGAAAGTCAGCCATGTCAGCCTTGGCCGGAGCAGCGCTTATGGTTGGAGACGACGAGGAAAGTGAGTACGAGGAGTGTGCTTTCGCGTTCTTCTCTCCGGTGGAGATGCCGGGGGAACTAGCAACTCTCAAGGAGGCCTTGGAGAGTAGTGATGCTGAGGAGTGGAAGAAGGCCATGGAGAGTGATGTCGGATGCCATAGGCCTCTGCTGTCTACCTCCCCTACGTGCTTCTGAGAATCAGTCTGCTCGTCCCTTTGCTTACTCTGTTGACTGAACGTGATGCCCTTCTTTGCCTTGTCTCTCCTGCTCCCCTGCTCAGGTTCATGCTCTCCCGACTGACCTACCCACTCGAAAAATCCACTGATCTAACGACCGGCTCCTCTCATATGGCTGGCTTCTGCTAGGAAGATAGCACAAACTCACTCCACTATACGAGAAAACAAACAAACAAGCAAGGAGTCTAGAGCAGGCTAGCAACCTATGTACAGTGCAAATCTTGGCTAGCTGCTGACTTCTTGCAGAGGGCGTGAGGCTTAGGCTGAAACCTGCACACACACGCCAACATCAAACGCACACAGCATCACACCATCCGACATACTTTCCATCGCAACCGCTCAAGCAGCCCACTTATGTACATGCAAGATCCTCGCCGTTCGTGCCTCTCCCCTCACCCCTCCTCTCGTCGCCCTCATCCTCCGCCTCTTTGTCCACGTGAAACCCCAGCCTCGCTGCCATCACTGTACACGCGAGGCGTCTGCATTTCTCCTGACCTTGCTCGGTGCTACTCCAGCTGTCCGACTACAGCTGTCATATGGAATGTCCCTTGCAACCTCGTTACCCACTGCCTCGATAGAGTCCATCCCTGCCGTGCTTCTACACCTCACGTCGTTCGTAACAGAAACGCATTTACTTTCTTGTTTCGTGCGACAGCTGTCGGATGCCATAGGCCTCTGCTGTCTACCTCCACATGCTTCTGAGAATCAGTCTGCTCGTCCCTTTGCTTACTCTGTTGACTGAACGTGATGCCCTTCTTTGCCTTGTCTCTCCTGCTCCCCTGCTCAGGTTCATGCTCTCCCGACTGACCTACCCACTTGCCCCCTTCCGAGACCCGCTTGGCTCCTGCTGCTGGTCCTCAGGAACCCCTCGCATCTTGTGTCCTGTCGCTCGTGCCACGTTCGTCACGTGATCATCTCTCTGCTTGCCCTCCTCTGACTCAAGCACCAGCACTCCTGACGCCTTCACCTCCTTGACCACCCACCGTTCGGTCGAAAGGCCCACATCCAGAGTGTCCTTCCTGGCCTTACAAATGTACACTTCCGTGCCGCTGTCTACAGCCTTGGTGGCTCCTTTCCCGGTCTGCAGCAACCTCTGTTGATACCTCTTCGCGTCCCGTAGCTGCGCCGTGTGCAGGTTCTCAAGCGCTGCTGGCATGATCTTCTTCAAGTACCTTGCTCTGCAGTCCGCCAGTGCTGCCCACTTCTCCGGGCTTCCAGCCCGCACTATCCCCGTCAGCACCTTCGGGGCGTTCACAGGCAGCATTGGCTCCTTCCCATACAGGAGGTAATACGGCGAGTAGTCCCTGAGTGCTGCCTGCTTGCTGAACCGGTATCCTGCCACGACCCAGTGCAGCTCCTGGTCCCAGTCTCTCTTGTGCTCTTCCCCGTAAGCGCGCAGCCCCTTTTTGATCGTCTGCACCATGCGTTCTGTCAGCCCATCCGCCTGCGGGTGATACCTCGAGGTTCGGCGGTGCGTGATCCCCACTCGCTTCAGCAGCTGGTCGAACGCCCCTTTGAACTCTGTTCCCTGGTCCGTGAGCACTTCTCCGCACGCTCCGAAGCGTGTCAGCACCTGATCGGTGAATGCCTCGGCAATCAACTCAGAGTTCTTGCTGCTGAGCGCTCGTACTTCCACCCACTTGGAGACATGCTCGATCATGACGAGCACGTATCGCTTGTTCTTGCGGCTCAGCGGCAGTTCTCCTGCCAGATCTAGTGACCACCGGTATCCCAGCCCGCGGATTGGGAGTGCCTGCAGCTCCTGTTGCTCCTTCTCCAGCGTGGCCTTGTTCCGGCTGCACAGTTCGCACTCGGCCACCGTCTTCTTCACGTCTCGCTGAAGGCCTGCCCACCACCAGCCTGTGGTCAGTAGTTGTGCTGTCCTTACGTGTCCGTAATGTCCTAGCTGGGCGTGCACCTTCTCTACGAGCGCTTTCCGGAGCTCTGGAGCCGGCACCAACTTCCAGCCGTCCTTGGACTGCACCTGCAACTGCTGCTGAAACCATCGGTAGTGCCTGCCCCGCGCTCTTGCCCTTTCTCCCACGTCCTCCTCCGCCTCGGTTTCTCCCTTCACCCACCGTAGTACGTCCGCGTCTTCCCACACATCTTCGGGCCCCTTTCCCCGATGCCTCGCTTCTTCTGCCTCCCGCATCCCGCTGGCCAGCGCCACGAGACATGCTGAGGGTGAGCCTCCCTCTCGCGGGGGAGGGTTTCTCGACAACCCGTCCACATGCTGTAGGGTTTTTCCCGGGCGATGCCGTATCTTGAACTCGTATTCCTGCAGCCTCATAGCCCACCTCGCGTTCCTCCCCGTGAGGGTCTGGTTTGTCATCAGCCACGTCAGCGGCTGGTGATCTGTCACCAGGGTGAACGGGCTGTCCTGCAGGTAGACCCGGAAATGCTCCACTGCCCACACCGCCGCTAGTCCCTCGCCCTCGTATGAGCTGTAGTTGGCCTCTGTGGGGCTGCAGCTCCTGCTGGCGAACGCCACCACTCTTTCACCCCGCTCGGTCTCCTGGCACAGCACAGCCCCCATGCCTAAGCTGCTCCAGTCGGTGTACAGCACGAATGGCTTATCCCGCTCTGGGAGCAGCAGCACCGGGCCCGTCTTCACTGCCCCCAGCAGGTCTTTCAGCGCGGCGTCTTCCTCCTTTCCCCACTTCCACGCTGTGCTCTCCTTCAGCAGCTGGTTCAACACGCTGGCCCGCTTGCTGAAGTTGGGCACGAACTTTCGATAGTAGTTCAAGAACCCCAGAACTGCCCTCAGCCTGCTCCGGTCCGAGGGTACTGCCACCTTGTCCAGGACCGCCACCTTCGCCTCTTGGACCGACAGGGTCCCGTCTGACACTTCGAACCCCAGGTACTTCACCGTGCTCTCTCCAAACTTGCATTTCCCCGGGTGGCATGTCAGGCCTGCGTTCATGATTGCCCCCAAGACCCTTTCTGTTGGTGCAACCCTACGGTTTGCACTCGGCTTGTTGTCCGTGTGCGTGAATGTGTGTGTGTATGGAATGGTATGAGGGCATGGGATAATATATATTTCATGCTTATAATTGTGTGTGAATGTTGAGTCATGATGTCGAGTGTGTGTGTCGAGTCAATAGCGAGTTATCGCTAGACGCGTGTTACGCGGTCGTTTGTGTCTCGCGCGCGGTTTCTATTTTGTCGTGCGCGGTTTCTATTTTGTCCTGTGTCGAACGTTCGGCGTGTCGCAGGTGTGTGCAGCAGACCCATCAAGAACTCAAGGATGAGTTTGTGATGAAGAGCCCGAGCCTTGGTGTCAAGCCTCAAGTGATTTCGAAGCTTGCCAAAAGGGTACACCTCAAGATATTGAAGATAGTTACATTACTTTGTGTAGTGTAACATTTCACTTGGTGTAGGCCCTAGTGAAGGGTAGTTTCGAGACCCTTCGTGGTTGGGGACAGTGTGGCACTGTTCCACATCACTGTACCTCGGCTCTTGGGGTTTGTAGGAGCTGGGAGTCATTCCCAACTCGTAACTCTTCCTATCTTGTGTTCTAAGACTATAGTGGCTGCCATAGTACCGTTCGTTCAAACCGACGCTGTGTCGTCAATTCTTTATCAAATCGTGCAATCTAAATTGCTAATTGTAGACGACGTGAAGACGCTCCAGATCCAATTTGAATCAAGTCATTTTCAGCTGTGAGCAGAACGCTATCAACGTTTGAAGCCGC